CAACTTGAATTTATCAAATTCAGCTCCCCGTTATACGTAGTTGCCACGTACGGCTTCGTGAAAATTTTTGGGGGAAAAGTGGCTAATTTCGGGGCCAGGGAAGCTGGGAGGCTGAAACTTTCAGGAAATGTTTCCAACTCATCTACAACTTGAATTTATCAAGTTCAGCCCCCCAATACGCGTGGTTGCACGTACGGCCCCGTGAAATTTTCTGGCTGGAATTTGAGTAACTCGGGAACTGAGAAAGCTGGGAACCTGGGATTTCATGAAAATGGTCCCTGTCCAAGTATAGCGTGGATAATTAACTTCCCGAAATTCGAAGACCTGTATGTACAAGAAGTTTCTAGCTAACGGAATTTCGAGTGATCTTATTGCAGCACAAAACACTGCAAAAACGCATTATCGCATGGGCCCGCCTAGTGTGCGTCGCCAATGATTTTGTTCTTACAAACTCGCGCGTGGACAACAAACATACTTGCAAAGTTACGGCTTCCTACTCGTTTCGGTTGCATAGCTAAATCGGCACCAAAACTGCCCAAAACCGACAATTTAATTGTGTGTAATACGAGAGCTAGAAGTACTTTAAAGCTATTTAAACCATTTAGATCGCAAGTAGACATAGACTGTCAGAATAAAATTTCTGTTTCTTAGCTCGACCGGTTTTCGAAACCGCTTCTTCGCCACAAGTATATTCGGCGCTTCTTTACATAGTTTAGGTCTTAAAGTCCGCACATAGACGGTAAATATTTCTGCAAAATCACAACAGTTTCTTTTTAACTAATTCTGGAATTTCACGGTGCCAAAGACGGACTCTGTCGTGTTTGTGTGCGTGATAGACGTGACCTTTAGGTCACAAAGTAACTAGAATTTTTGGCTTAGAAGGAACGATTAGCTGCCAATAACTGACCTAAAGTCGAACGATAATGATAAATTTGTTATCAAGCCTCATCCCTTAATCTCAAAGCCCAGTTTTCGGCACAAAAATATATTACGTGGGAAGTAGAAATGAAAAGCGTTGAAAGTTTTATTTCCGACATATTTCAAGTTATCAGCAAAATGATCCAGATACACCAGTACTGCTGCCAAAGCCACGATTTCAAAGTAAATATAAATTACTTTAAACATTCTTATGAAATACAATGAAGAAATGCCTTTAGTTAACAATACTGAGGTACTTTGGCATAATTTTTTAACGACGTTACTTTGTAATAAGAGAATCTTGCGACGTATGCTAGACGGAGTTAATGCCTTAGGTTCACTTAAACGGACAAAAGGACACTTAGCGAAAGTAACGTCCATAAAAACAAAAAAAAAACCAGAAGAAATCTTTTATCACTTCAAGTGTGCCGAATTTGGTGAGTGAGATGAATATGAAATTTTACTGCAGTTTCAGCTGCATTTTGATGAATGTGTTGACCAGTTTGTAGACGCGCATTTCAAACTGCTTGAGAGTGTCCTCAAGGAGCTCTATCTGATCTCTCTTCAGTCTATCCAACAGTGTCACGCACACTACTGCCGCTGAAACTTTCATTATTTTTCTTCCAAAAAATCCTGAATAAATTGCAAACATCTCCATGTATTCGTATATTACAGAAATTTCCAGTTTCAAAAACTAAAAATTTTGGAGAAAAGAAGAATTTCAGCACCACTTTTGTGCGGTTTTACTGTTGCTACAAAAAGCAATCCAGGCTGGAACGCACTGCGGGAGTCGGTACGATCATGCACTTTTGCACTATTTCGTGCTGTAGCAAGATTGGAAGGAATCACTTTTGCCAGAATTTGTAACATGCTGACCCTCAAGCTAATTGCGCAGTTATGTTGGCATGTCACTTGTAGGTATCAGCTTAATGACCCGACTAATGAAAACTTGCTGGTGCGCGAAAAAGACCCCACTAAACGAGTT